GTTAAGCTGACAGTGGCCAGGGGCTGACTGTGCTTTTGCAACGCTAGGAACTCAATGTACCGCCTCACTCGTCTGAATTTGCCTGCCAACAACGTTTCAAAATCCCAGGCCAGTTTGGGTATTTTCTTAGTGCTGTAATTAACTCCAAAGCCTGTGATTTCTCTGACTCTGACTCCGGCTCCGGCTCCTCTCAAAGGTTTGAATCCCAGAGGTTTTACTGAACCTGTCTGTGCCAGCCTACATCTGACTTTCCAAAGTGCCACATGGGGAGGGAAGGTAGATGGGACAGTTCATTAATTTTTAATCAGTCCCCCCTTCCTGCGCCAAGATCGCCTCCTGACTCCCCCTCCTCCAGACAGGCACCCCTTTCTGAGAGAGGCAGATGCATGAGGAATAGGAGTCTATTCTCCCAGCCTCATTAGGTTTTCTTTGAAGGCTGGCTGGGGCGAGGTACGCATTAATTAGAATATGGCTTTAATTACCCTTCCCTCAGAAAGGTGGGTCTGAATAATTATCAGCCAATTTCTCGGCTGCCTTTTATCTTCCCAGATATTGATTTAGTCTCTACAGTCTTCACATTTTCTCTTTGCTGCTGTAGCCCAGACCTTCTGTTGGAATTACTGCCACTCAATGCCTAATCTAATCTCAATTCTAAATCTACTCTAAAGTGCTGATTATTACCTGACTTCTCCTTCTTCTTCTTTTGCTGGTAAGTGGTAGTGGAAATTTACCCTACAGCATTTTCTGCTGATCTCTGAAAAGCCTTTGATATGGCCATTTAATGCAATAAATTAAGGTACCTGTGTTTTGCTGGAAAAAAGCCTGTAACATCCATTGATTTACCAGGGTAAATACATGTGTCACAAAGTATTAAATTCTGGACAGATAAAATACCAAAAGGAGGAACACTCGCTCTAGTGCCTGCATGTCAGCTTTAGAGCCCTCTTAAATTCTTACGTTCAGTTGAAGGGTTGCTAAGGATCCACATTCTGTGCATGTTTGTGTGTACAGCTTTATAAACCTGCTCGAAATGTTTCACGTTTTTCTTCTACTTCAGACAGTGCCGGGTTTATTTTTCTTTAATTTGTGGGGCTCAGCCATTCTCCTGCAGGGTTGGTAGCCAAAGACTGTGCTAGGGTCGGAGACCCACAGTGCAATGAAACGGAACCAGCTAAGCTAGACTGGCTAGCTGCAAAAGCAAACAAACCCCATCCATGGTGAATTGTAAATGAGGTTTGTAACGACAAACCTTTCCATATTCAGAGGCTGAGGTGACGTGAGCAACACAGGTTTGGGGTTTCGCAAATGGCAGCGGTTCGCACACTGGTTTCTGGGCTGTTGCAATGCACATTGTGTATGACTGTATTGTGCAGTGGCTGTTCAGAGAAAGGGAAAAGGGCCTTCTAGCGATGCCCATTATGGGAGAGTTTCACTAGCTCACGTGGTAGAGCAACAGAAGGACCTGAGAGCTGCTCTTGTGCATGGATAATTAATGCAATAACAAAGCTGACCACAGGCCTGCTGTGTACTGACTCACCCTGCACGGAGCCCCCTCCTTCTGAGACCCAGAGGGGTATTGTGGGAAGAGCACAACTGCCCCATTGAAATGGCTGGAAATCGCCTGGTACAAGAGAGCTAGCCTGGACAGAGCGCTGGGTGGGACCTGTGGTCAGTGAGTCCTGTTCCTGCTCCCACAGGCAGCCCTGTCATGGAAGCCCATTCAGATACTTATCAAGCACCATCTTAAAAGCAGTAGGGTGACCTGGCTGCCCCTGTGGAGGCTGGGCTACAACATCCATCCTGTGGCAGACAGAACGCTTCTTATTTCCAGCCTGTGCTAGCATCTGCTTGCATGGGATGGTGCTAAGGTGCCACGTGGAACGTGGGCTCCAGTCCGTGGCTTCGGGGTGCCTGTGGATGATGCGGGTAGGAATGAATGCCTCCCTGGATGCAGGGGTGGATGAGTTTTGCGGGACCCAGGGCAGCACAATATCGCGGGGCCCCCCCCTTTGGAGAA